AAGGAACAGTACCATTGCTGGATAATTGGAAAGTCCCTGTGTGTCAACCTCTGTGCTTCGTGGCAAGGTAGACTAGCAAACATGCCCAACCTTTACTCACATTCGAGAAAACACTCACCAACAAGATTGCTTGCTCCAAAATCGAAGAGGCACCACCCTCCGAATCTCGAGAGCCACTCTCCCAACATGATTACTTTCTCAAAAATCGAAGAGACACTGCTCCCCGAATCTCGAGAGCCAGACCCCCAGCATGATTGCTTTCTCAAAAATCGGTGAGGCACCGTTCTCCGAATCAATCGAAGAGGCGCTCGCTTTCTCAAAAGCTGGGCTGCTCAGAGACCACGAGGGCCGATCTCAGAAATCGAAGAGGCACCTACTTTTCTAGCCTTGTCAGCACCTGTCACACGCACACTCAGCTTTGCAGAAATTATGGGCATTCTGTCGAAGACTTCTGGTGAAGTAGAAAGCACATGAATCTTACTGTTCAATCACCCACTTCCCACACGCAACAATAACTCATGGGTACCACAGATCACTTTGCCAAAGTTCTCTGCCAAAGTTGAGCACGTGAAGCTTGCAGCTCCCACTACATCGCTCTGACCAAGAAAGGTAAAAGAATAGCAAAGAAACAGCACTAACAAAGTTTAGACACATAAATTTTTGAAGGTCTAGCTACCATATTATTACCCACAAGGGTAAAGGAACAGTACCACTGCTGGATAATTGGAAAGTCCCTGTGTGTCAACCTCTGTGCTTCGTGGCAAGGTAGACTAGCAAACATGCCCAACCTTTACTCACATTCGAGAAAACAGTCCCAACAAGATTGCTTGCTCCAAAATCGAAGAGGCACCGTCCTCCGAATCTCGAGAGCCAGACTCCCAACATGACTACTTTCTCAAAATCGAAGAGAGGGTAAAGGAACAGTACCATTGCTGGATAATTGGAAAGTCCCTGTGTGTCAACCTTTGTGCTTCGTGGCAAGGTAGACTAGCAAACATGTCCCAACCTTTACTCACATTCGAGACAACACTCCCAACAAGATTGCTTGCTCCAAAATCGAAGAGGCACCGCCTTCCGAATCTCGAGAGCCAGACTCCCAACATGATTACTTCCTCAAAAATCGAAGAGACACTGCTCTCCGAATCTCGAGAGTCAGACCCCCAGCATGATTGCTTTCTCAAAAAATCGAAGAGGCATCGTTCTCCGAATCTCGAGAGCCAGATACCACAGACCACTTTTTCAAAGTGCTCTGACAGAGTTAAAACATGTGAAACTGGCAGCTCCCACTACCGTGCTATGACCAAGCAGGGTAAAGGAATAGCATTACTACTTGTTGTTAGGGAGACTCCTATATATGTCGACCTCCATCCCCAACGGACAGGCAGACCTGCAAAAATGCTCAACCCTTCATCATATCTGAGAGGGCACTCCCAACGAAAGCCTTTCGAAATATTCAGCTTTCTTTCCCCCCGATAATACCTCTGCAAACAAGCTATACTAGAGCAAGAATATCTCATATCATCAGGGTTAAAAGCAAGAGTATCCCATATCATGCTTTTTCCCTGTTTTTTCTTTTGGCCTTGTTTTTACCTGCAAGACAAGGAGAAAGAGAGAGCAATCAGTCAGCACTTGGAATCAAGCTTCCAGCCAGGAACTGACTGCCTGGAACCCCTTACCTGATTACTTACCTGGCATTGCTCTCGAGTACTCATCTTCAACATCTTATGTTTCCAGGGAAGATTCCGCATCTGCTTGAGGAACAGATAGGGCAAGTGCGAAGGATACAAGGAAGCATGTGGAGACAAGCGTAACAGCACACGTGCCGATACATCCATTACTCTGTCAAAAGCAAAAGTATCCCATATCAGCAGGGTGGAACGTACTCTAGATTTGATGGACTTGTTTTGACCCTCAAATTCTTCAGTCGGCCTTATACTCTGGAGGAAACCAGAAAAAACCCTCCAGCTCAGTTCAAGAATAAGCCTGTGGAAAGTTACTTCTTCAAAAGCAAAAGTATCTCATATCATCTCTTCTCATTTTTCTTCTCTTTATCCTTCATGCTGCTGCAAGATGGGGAGAAGGTGAACAATCAGTCGGAGCTCTGATTGCTTACCTTGTCTGTCACCTCTTTCAGCAGACCCCCTAGCTCGGCGACTTGGGGGACTCCTACTACATGGTTTGTATCGCGCTTGACCAAGCCTGAAACTACAAGTAAGCTTCAAGTGAAATTGATACATTACCTTGTGCATCTCCACCAGTTAAAGATACCACCCCTGGATGGAGGAAGAGTACTTCCAGAGAAGATGCCACATCTACCTATGAGACAGATAAGGCAAGTCAAGACGACACCACACTCCGATACTTAGAAGTTTCGTGATTACGAGATCATTCTCCCACAATATTTCCTAATGTCATTTGTACTAAATCATTCACTCGTACTCACTAAAGGAGAGAGCTTGAACCTATGTACTTGTGTAAACCCTTCACAATTAATGAGAACTCTTCTATTCCGTGGACGTAGCCAATCTGGGTGAACCACGTACATCTTGTGTTTGCTTTCCTATCTCTATCCATTTATATATACTTATCCACACTAATGACCGGAGCAATCTAGCGAAGATCACAAAAAGCGACCGTTTTCGTTACCTAGGATCTATCTTGCAAGAGAACGGAGAATTAGATGGAGATCTCAACCATAGAATACGAGCTGGATGGAAAGAGTGCATCCGGCGTGTTGTGTGACCGTCGTAGGCCACTGAAGCTCAAGGGAAAATTTTATAGGACGGCAATAAGGCCAGCGATGTTGTATGGCAGAGAATGTTGGGTGGTGAAGCATCAACACGTACACAAAATGGGTGTAGCGGAGATGAGGATGCTTCGTGGGATGTGTGGGCACACGAGAAAGGATAAGATTGGGAATGAGGATATCCGAGGTAAAGTAGGAGTAGCCGAAATTGTAGGAAAGATGAGAGAAAATCGGCTCTGGTGATTTGGACATGTGCAAAGAAGGCCGACTGACGCTCCGGTTCGAAGATGTGACTACGGGACAGAGGTTCAGGGCCGAAGGGGTAGAGGAAGACCTAGGAAAACTTTGGAAGAGACTCTAAGAAAAGACTTAGAGTACTTGGATCTAACGGAGGGCATGACACAAAACCGAGCGCAATGGCGTTCTAGGATTCATATAGCCGACCCCACTTAGTGGGAAAAGGCTTTGTTGTTGTTGTTGTTGTTGTTGTTGTTGCAGGATGTTACTTGGCATGTAATTGAACACCAAGAGACTCGTTTGGAACGACTTCTTTAAAAGTACTGCTCAAAAGCACTTTCAATAAAAAGAATTTTTAATAAGAATGCAATAGCATGCCTTTTCCAAAAAGCACTTCTAATACTTTTTTGAACTTAAAAGCACTTTTAACTTTTTTATGTTATGCATGGTCAGAGGTGTTTTTAACGATCTGAAAGCGCTTTTAGTTATTTAAAAAGTACTTCCAAATATGCCGAAGCCTTTACGATTCACGTTCTCATTGGATATTCAAGACCATAGATGAAGTCCGGCCATGAATAATCATTTGCAAATCATTCGTATCAAGTAAACTTTAGTGTTTTTGCACTTGTAATAAGATCGAACTAGGACATTTAAGTTTACAGGGTCGTGTTTTCTAGGACAATATAAGGGTTTTTTCCCTCCTTGGAATAAGTAGGCTTGACATTCATTTCCAATGGAAACATAACCATGATCCATGAAGCTATATAGTTTTGTATGCTTAGTCACATTCTGCATAGTAGGCTGTGGGGGATCTAATAAAGTCGTAGGACCAAAATGTTGGTTTATTAACCCACTTCACGTGTAACATGTGATGGTAGATATGTATCATATAAATACTATCTAAACAATTTAATACCCACCAATATCATAATTCATCAAACTTCAAGCAACACCTCCCCAACCATCTTTTTCTCTTTTTCCCCTCCTGGGTTATCTGCTTAAGCTTTAACAAGTATTACTTACTTTCCACTTAAGTTTTAACCTGCCACTACCACTACAGTTTACTGATTTTTTTTCTTCACTTGTACGTGGAACGTTTTAAGTTCGACCTCCATATATGGCAAGTTCAATACCAAATTATTGTTGACTCATTGTGTGTCTAGGTCAACTCCCTAGCTCTAATATGGTTAATACTGCATGATATTGCATAAGTAATCCATATCACATTTAAACTCGTAATCTTTTTCAACAAAGTAAAGACAGAATGTTAGAATTAAATAATCTTATGTTCCATAGGTTACAAGAAAGAGCAAAGAGCAGGTAGCAGAGACTTCTTCTTAGTCTTTAATTCGATGCTAAAAGAAGCTTTTGCTTTGACTTGAATTGTGCACCGCAATCACAATCCCTAACAAATGGTCTTCACATTTTTCACCAGACCGTATCAAATGGTCAATCCCTTTGACAAGTTATCCATGTTCTTCGTCTAAGAACAAATCTGACTTTTCCCTAGCAAAGTGCTTTCGGTTTCAGCCATTCTGTAATTTCTTTCTTGTTTTCAAAGCAAACAAAATTAGGTAGAAAAAAAAAAGGGCAATTTCTTTATCTCCCTTTGGTCAGTGATTATTTCATTTAACAAAGTCCAAACAGACATAGTACAACGACCATGCAAAGACGGTCTAACAAAGAACTCGAAAAATGACTAAAATACAGATAAGACGCCACTTAACAAGTGAGGGCTGAGAGGTACAGAAACAGCAAATGAAGCCTGAAATTGGTTTGCAATGCTTTGTGAAAAGCATATAAGCAAGACAAGGAAGCCATGGAAAGTAGCGCTACCATGTCAGCTGACCCACATCAGACACTCCTCTCCTCTTCACGTATAAAAGGGCCCATCAAAACCAAATGCATGGCCAGATCCAAATCTACAAACAGTCTTTCTCTCTCCCTCTCTCTTTCTCTCTTCTTTCTCTCTCTCTCTCTCTCTTTCTCCGTCTCGGTGGTTCAGATGTGTCACAAGGTGTTGAGGGGAATGCTGTCTGGTTCGAGACCATTCCTTTGAAGCAAAGAACATGAACATCGAATGATTTCGGACCAGGCTTCATTCCCCCTAACACAAAATGCAGTACGTTCCTACTCATGGCAATTGATCAGTTAGATACACCCTTTTATGCATCGCTAATCAATGTATGAATTCTGAGCGTTTTCGACGATCTTGCTGCTTGTTCCATATCATCGATCATGTAAGCATACAGCATATCATTCTCATTAATTATCGCTCTATGCATATTTTCTCCATTCATTGATTTGCAGCTATAAGTGAGAACACTGTACTAGAAGAAGACGACCAGTCCGGGCAGGTATGTATTACAGGACTTAAGTCTGTACTTTAAAGCAAATCCAACCATGGAAACCCTGGTTTTAGCGACGAATATATAATATTAAAGCGCGACTACTTTATTATGGTTTACATTGCCAGCAGAGTGAAGCATTTGATGACATGAGAATTATTAAATTGTACATTTGCTTGTTAGAACATTATTCATTAATTATTGTTAAGCAAGATTAGAGCTGCAGGATCAATATATATCTTCTCCTGCTACGTCTTTTTTTTTATTTATTTGCTACAAGCGGTAAAGCGAGAGCCTTGTGCACTGGGTACGACCGCTACAAGCGGTAGCGAGGAGGGGAGAATCAAGCCTAGGACTAAATGTTTGAAAACTTGGATACTATTTCAGCTGTTTTTTTTTTCCTTTCCAAATGCAATCCTTCTGCATATTCTATATGTTTCTACCAAATCCGTTGAAAAAAAAGTGTGTGTGTGTGTGTGTGAAAATATGTCTGAAAAGGAAGAAACAAAAAACAAAGTTATATGCATGTTTTTTCATCTTTAAGCGGTTGGAACTTTATTTTTCTTTCTTCCAATTTGGCTTTGCTTGTAGGGAGTTACAAAGAATATAAGCCAAGCAAGAGCTTTAGTATTCACTTTATCATGTGTTGCATGAGATGAAAGAGTAAACAGCAAAGATATATGAGCTTTGAATTCACTCCTTTTTTCACCTTGCGACTGCCATCATAACCCCACCTCCCTCGTAGTCTTTGTGCCTTACCCCATACATACATATATATGTACACATATATACATATACACATATACATGTACACATATATACATATACACATATACATATACACATATATACATATATACATATACATATATCTATACATATATATATATATATATATATATATATATATATTCTTCACTTTTCATAAAACCGTGTGGGTCATCAGATCCCATTTCTGCATAGAAAATCTACACTCAGCTGATTCTTATGGATGTTTCCAAGCTAATGATTATTTGGTCTAATGAAGAAGGTTCTAAATTCAAATTTCATGAGGATAATTGTTGATGGACGTAAAATAATAATGACAACTAATTGTTCTTCGGTAGAGTTCCATCATATTTAGGCCAGGGTTCGCGTCTCGACATATAAAGTAAGGGCAAGAAAGCATGAAGTGGGCTAGGATTAAGACAAAAAGATGGCATCAATGATAGAACAAAGACATTATTAAATACCAAAAATAACATAACTTCAACGGTACAAGAAAGATGTCATAAAACAACAAAAGCACCAAGCACAATAACTCAATAAAAGCAACGATCCCAAAGGGCAAAATTGTAAGAATGCTCTTTAATCAAGTGAACAAAATCTAAAACAATCAAAATACTATAAATACCCATACGCCAAAATAAGTACTTATCGATACTACCTAAAACATCACCCTCATCAAACTTATCACATCGAGCTAAGAAAAAAAATGTAAAACAGAGAGCAAATGCACCCCACCCCAACAATGAATAACTATTATAAGCTCTTTGTCCATACCATGTGGTTTCATTTAATACCCTCACAAGTCCTAGTACAAGACTTAAAAGCCATACTCATGAAACTGTACTGATATGTTTCTGAAAGTGGACTAACTCATATTCGAAATTTTGGCCTGGTAGGAACCTTATCAGATATACTGTGAAAACAATAATTTGCAATAGTATCAAAATGCTCCATAAAAAATTGTCAAACAAAAAAATACTTGCACCTGACAGATTACGTCAGATTCATTCATAAAAGTATTAAATATAAGATATATTGTGAATACACTTCACACGGATTGTGCACGACATCGTCGAACAAGCACAAGTTTTCTTCTTAGTTTATACCTATCCCTAGTTAGTAATTCCAAACTTGATCAATTTCTAGTCCCATCATCACATGAAAGTTTAAATCTGTATGTTCTATCATATATATTGTAGACAAACGTCATACATGACAGAAGACAAATGAATCATGCATTAATCTTTTCATTGATTTTGGCATCCAATAATTAATCCGTACAATCATGAAAATTAACATGAATTGCTATGATTTGGATCCTTCGATACGATGTGTTGCAATCCCCAGAGGCAGAGGAGGGTCAAAAGAGAAGGAGAGACATCTTGAGTATGTTGCGAGGATATAAAGTAATTCCTATGCTCGATAAAGCCATTTGGAATTTTTGCTCTATTTGGAAGATGGGTTCCCAATTCCCATATACTTTTGTGTGCTTTTTTGGGATTGACCATTTAAAAATTCTATGAAGTGTTCAACAAAAATTGAAAAAATGATTTGTAAAGTCCATTTTAATAGAGTAAAAGAGAGAAGAAAAAACAAAGCTGTTTTAGCCCCCTACAACCTCCTTTCAATGGTTCACAAAACATTGTTCCTTCCCTTAGACACTTTTATTGATTTTTAACTGTTGAATTGAATAAATGAAGGAAAATCAATGAACATAATTGAATTAGGATTTTGTAGAAGAATCAAAAGTGTGTGTGTGTGTAAATCATTTTCCATTATATATGGAAGGTGCCACTATGTACATTAGAGCAAAATTTTCAAAAAGTTGTATGCATGGGTTAATTGATTCAGTTTAGTAATATTTCTCTCTCAACGTCGATCTCATTAGATGCAGATAAAAGCAAGGTAAGCAAGGCTTGTGTCTTGAACATCAAGTTAAATAAAGGTGGCACTTTTTAAATAAATGGATCCTATAAAAGGGATTATGCTAAAAAAAAAGGCCTCATGTATGAATAGATATACCAGTAGGTTTTTTTATGACCCCAAGGCTCTACTTCATGTTATCTGTATATGCAAGTAGGTCTCACATATGCTATATGATGTGAGTATCACGTAACCGTGAATATAGACGCATGTTTCACGTGCATATTAGATTTTATATTTCATTGATGGTAAGGATATAGATGGCTTGTTACCAACCAATAATTGCGAAACTTTAAGATCCTAATTAGTTCTAAGTTGCGGAGTGTAGATTATATATTTTTTTCAATCTCGAACACAGAAATTGAAACTACGAACTAAAAAGAAAAAGGAAAAGAAGATCAAATTGGTTCTGAGTTGCATGCATGCTTCTGATGAGCGAGATTAATGTTTTAAGGTGCGCCTTATCGATATTTGTTGAGAGTTGTCCCACATCGGTGAGGGACAAGGTTTGCTATGTGCTTATATGGTCTTGGGCTACTCCCCATATTGCTAATTGGTTTTATGGTGGAATCTCAATTTCATCATGGTATCAGAGCGGGTTGTCCTAATGTGAAGCCAAACGGCCACACGCGCTCCACGTCACCTAGTTGTTGTCCACTTGTAGGTTTGTAAGGAAGAAAGATGGAACTTTGAGGCTATGTATTGATTATAGGCAATTGAATCGGGTAACAATTAAAAATCGTTATCCATTGCAGCGTATAGATGATTTGTTTGATCAGCTTTGAGGTGCCTGTGTGTTTTTTAAGATTGATTTGAGGTATGGTTATTACCAGTTGAAGATCAGCAGTGAGGATGTCCCTAAGACTGCTTTTAGGACTCGTTATGGTCATTATCAACCAAAGCACCTCCCGCTGAAGCATCAAGCATTTGTCTCTCAATTGTAAGGAGTCCTTCGTAGAAATATTGAATCAAGAGCTCTTCTTTCATTTGATGTTGTGGGCAGGATGCAACTAACGTCTTAAAACGCTCATAATAGGCTGGAAATGATTCTCCTTGGTTTTGTTGGATTCCACTAATCCTCTTCCTCAAAAGAATGACTCTTGAAGTTGGAAAGAATTGCTCTAGAAATGCTCTCTTCATGCTTTCCCAAGATGTAACGGTTCCAGGTGCCAATTCGTATAGCCAATCTTTAACCTTTTCCAAAAGAGGGAATGGAAAGGCTTTCATCTTCAAAATACTCCCATCAACGTTGATGGTTGTCATGCTTGAACACACCACTTCAAACTCCTTCAAATGCTTGTTTAGATCTTCCATGGACAACCCATGGTATTTGGGAATATGATGCAGCAAGCTTGACTTCAACTCGAACTCATCGGTCTTGCCTTGGGCTGCTATGGGGTATTGAATGCAAAGAGGCACGACATTGTCCAATCCCGAGGCTGAGAGTTCTTTGATCGTTCGATTATCCGCAGCCATGTCTAGTTCTTCCTCTTTCTCTTCTTCAATTTCGGATTTTGAGCTAGAACTAGGTGGATTAGGTTCTGGTTGTTTCCTTTTCCTTCTCAAAGTTCTTTCAAAATCGTCATTAAACTCCAAGATATTTGCACTAATAGGTTGAGAACTTCGAGTCATAAACTAGTACCTAAAACAAACAAAACAAAACAAAACAAAATCAGAAACACAAGAAAAATAAAAACAGAAACAAAAGGAAAACACACGGCAATAGCTAGGAGAAGATTAGCAATTTTGCTAATCCCCAGCAACGGTGCCAAAATTTGATGTGAAAATTAACTTGACACACAAATTAAACCCTATTAAACATGTAATTGTAGTATTAAGCAAGTAGAGATCGTTCTAGACCGGGGATTAACTAGGGCTGCTAATCAACACAAATATGAATCAAAAACACAAAACTAGACTTAGAAACACAAAACTAAACACTTAGACTTAAAACTGACTCAAACTACTCAAAACAGCACAAATAAGTGAAATTGACTCAAAATTGACTCTAGGGAGTGAATTGGACGAATTTAAGACTATTAAAACTCAAAACACTAAATTGGATAGATTTGAAC